TATTTTTATCTCATTTTAGCATAAAAAATCATCTTGGGTGCCATTATGGCTGAAAGAAGAAATGTATGTATTGTAGGGGGTAGGTGGATAGAAAGAAGCCCAACCAAGTCATTATTAAACTGTGGGTCAGCTACACATTGTAACACTCCTGTTTTTGTATCAGATTTAGCAAGACTGAAATTGATTTAAAAATACCTTCCTACATAACATAAAACTAAACATACATGGTTTTGGTTGGGTGAATGATTTTGGTTGGAAAGTGAGGGGTTGTTTATTTTAACTTGATTCTGAGTGTGATTTATTTTTAATTTTTTGGACATGTGCAAACACTTGTGTTGGGGTAAATTCTGTCTGTGGGGTTTGTCAAGTATTGGATGCCAGGATTACAGGTTTTGAACTGCAGGATACCCTGAAGTCCAAACTCTTTCTCTCCCGCTCCCACATCTGTTTCTAATTTACCACTGCATCACGCTTCAAATTTGCCAGCGGGAATGTAGCCCTCAGCCTGACATCAGGAAGGGGCAGCTGGAAACCTCCACAGGGCTCAATGCCATCCGAGCCCCCATGTGGAAGGTGAGACAAGGCCACATGAAAGTAAGCAGGGAGAGAGCAAGCACGAAAGAAAGAATTTAGTGCAGTTTCAGCTCCTTTCAATACGTCCACATCAGTCCCCTTTCCTCCTGTACTGGCAAACAAGCCACCAGCCATAATAATAATAACAGTGACAGTGTATCCTAAACTGAGAGCTGGCCCTCATTCCACTTCCTTACTCTTTTGCAAAATTTCCTTTTTGGCACTATAGTTAGTTCAACTATATGCACCAATTCCTTGTGGCGCAGTGGTTAAACTGCTGTACTGCAGCCAAAACTGTGCTCACGACCCGGGGTTCAATCCCAGGTAGCCGGCTCAAGGTTGACTCAGCCTTCTATCCTTCCGAGGTTGGTAAAATGAGTACCCACGGGGGGGGGGGCAATTTGTAGCCTGCATAATTAACTTGTAAACCGCCCAGAGAGTGCTTGAAGCACTATGGGGGGGTATATAAGCAGCATGCTTTGCTTTTATCATATTGATGATGATTGATGTCAATGAAGGGGTAGCCTGTTTTTGCACACTGAATTTTCTGTTGTATTTTAAAATCAGCTCTCTGAATTCTCTCTCTCTCTCTCATACAATATGAAGCAGCTGCAGGGAGACAGGAGACACATATACTCTGGTGATCTCACTCTGAGCTCCCCCAGGGCTCCCAACAATTGAACTGCCCAGAAGATATTTGAATCTTCAGTGGTAGCTCACATTCCAATCTGCTTCTTTTGTGTGGCTTCCTTCTTCTCCCAGTATTTTAACCAAAATGCTACTACAGAGCAAATCTTTGTGATCTCTTCAGGTACCCAGTCATCCTTGTGGCAAATATATTGCTGTGACTTTTTAAAAAAAGCACAAATAACTTTAATTTCGTCTACAGTATTTTGCTACATTTCTCAGAAGACAGTTTCTTGTTGTGAGCTAACTTGTTGCTTCCAATTTATGGCAACTAGAGATGGGCATGAATCAGAAAAATTGTGATTCATTTTGATTCCTGATTTGTCAAGGTTGATATATCATGAATTACAAATTTGATTTTTTTTTCTGATAAAAAATGACAAATTGATATGTCAATCCGATTTTTGCTTTAAAACTCTATAAAATGCCCCCCCCCAGCACCTAGACATCAAATTTGCAGGCAAGTTTCTCTGACTATTCTCTATAAGCCCTGCATGTTTGGTGAAGTTTGACTTTCAGACATCCAAGTTATACACCCACAAAGTAGATCCCTTCAGGAAAGAGCTGTTTAGCAGCTGGCCTGAGGAAACCCAATCTTCACCAAACTTGGAGGGATTGTAGAGGAGTTATGGGAAGCTTCTCTGTGATTTTGGTGTCTGTAGGTGCCTGGGGGAACCTGAGGCACCTAGGGGCTATATATGGGTGCATAAAAGAGCCTCGTGGTGCAGTGGTTAAAACGCTGTACTGCAGCTGAAACTGTGCTCACGACCTGGGGTTCAAATCCCAGGTAGCCGGCTCAAGGTTGACTCAGCCTTCCATCCTTCCGAGGTCGGTAAAATGAGTACCCAGCTTGCTGGGGGGGCAATGTGTAGCCTGTATAATTAAATTGTAAACCGCCCGGAGAGTGCTTGTAGCGCTATGGGGCGGTATATAAGTCCAATAAATAAATAATAAAATAAATAAATAAATAATGAAACCCAATCTGAAACCCAATCTTCACTGAACATAGAGGGAATGTAGAGGAGGGTCATGGGATGCCTCCCTGTAATTTTGGTGCCTTGGGGGCTATTTTATAGCCAAACATCAACAAATCAAAAATGGCTAAAATTCATTGATTTGTATTCATAGGGACATTGATTTTGATGAAGTGATGAATAAGCAATTTTTGAATGAATTTGGTGATAATTTTTTAAATTTGTGTGCATCTCTGATGGCAACTTTGTGAATTAATGACCCCTTACACTCAAGAATATTTTCTAGTCAGCTCATAGCTGTCCTTCTCAGTCTTCCTCTCATTTCCTGGTTGCAGTCTCTGGCTGAATCACCAGTTGAACCAATGTTTCCAGCCTGTGATGTATTGTTCAGTTTTTCACATTTGTTGGCATTTGTAGCTTGAAATAATTCTATTGCTATCTAATCTACTCCTGGTGATTTGCTTCTTCCAAATGCTTTGAAATTCTCATGAATGTCTTGTCACTGCCCCAAGTTTATCCAGTTTATCCACAAATGTTATTACAAAATGCACCTGAGGGTGTGGCCAACAATACATGCCTCAGGCTGCAATTCTATAGACACTTATCAGGGAGCAGCTCCCATCAAACTTACTGGGTTTACTTCTGAGGAGACACATTTTCATCCTTATCTCTTTCTTTTCTTTTCCTTATGGTATGCCATTTTGGTAATGTCTTGGTTGTAATAAATTGCTATAATTGTAATTTTAATTGTAAATTTTTAATAAATAAATAAATAAATAAATAAATAAATAAATACATACATACATACATACATACATACATACATAAATAAATAAATAAATAAATAAATAAATAAATAATAGCACTGAATACTATTCAGACACACAATTGAATAAGGACAATCACACAAGCATTCCCCCCTTACAGTCTCCTTTTAGTGCATCCCTAGTATTTGCTGAAATGCATCATATACATCCAGAATTAAAATTTATGAGTCATAATTTAAAGGTACTCAATAAGAGGAAAATATTTAAACCTTCCCCAGGATGAGAAATTATCTTTGACTCCAAATTAACATAATTGTGGAGATATTAAACCCAGCTGTTCTTATATGTACAATACCTCTGGAAAAGGACACAGTAAAAGATGAAGCTTCAAATTATGAATAGGATTGTGTCACCAGACATTTTATGCATTCCCAGAGCTATTGGCTCTGCTCTTGCATTCAGACAGTACCACTGGCAGCCAGGATAATTTTCAGTTCACTCTTCATGACAAATGGAGGAGGAGAACAGAAGAGAGACATCTTTGTGCAAATACTACAATGAATGGTGAAAGGCTTGCCTCCCTTTTCTCTCTACAAGAAAAGAGATGTTTATGTAAATCTGCAATTTGAAATGAATCTTCATTAAGAACATTGAGATAGAAAGATGCATAAGAGCCTTTTTCCTTCTCCTGCAAAAGGATATCTATCAGCTATATCTAGAGACAAAATTGAAATGCATTTAGATTTTCCCCATCATCCATTTTGAGAAGTTATTTATAATTGAAAGAAATAGTGAAATTATGGGACGTGGTGGCTCTGCGGGTTATACAGCAGAAGCTTCTGTGCTGCAAGGTAAGAAGACCAGCAGTCGTAAGATCGAATCCACACGATGGAGTGAGCTCCCGTCACTTGTCCCAGCTCCTGCCATCTTAGCAGTTTGAAAGCATGTAAAAATGCGAGTAGATAAATAGGTACCACCATGGTGGAAGGTAACAGTGTTCTGCGTCTAGTCGTGCTGGCCACGTGACCATGCAAACTGTCTACCGACAAACGCTGGCTCTATGGCTTGGAAATGGGGATGAGCACCGTGCCCTAGACACGACTGGATTAAATGTCAAGGGGAACCTTTACCTAATAGTGAAATTTATCTAGAATAAACAAGAATGTAAAGAGGCTTAAAATATTAATTGATCAATATCTTTGCAAAATCAGAAACTGTAACCTGATGCAGACAATCAAACAAGACAAAGATCAAGATGTGAAAGAGGTACATGGAGACAGAACAGTGTGCACTATTCAAGTGTTTTTTTTTTTTTTTTTGCTCAAGCATTTGTGCCCTATGGCATGGCCCTTTAAATAGAAATGTGAGGAATACTTAGTATTTTTTTTTTTTATTTTAGCATGCCACAGTGCTCTACTCATGATCTGTGTTCGATCCCAATAGATTCAGGTAGCTGGCTCAAGGGTGATTCAGCCTTTCATCCTTCTGAGGTTAGTAAAAGGAATACCCAGCTTACTGGGTGGCAAAGAGAGTGCTTTAGTACTATGTACTATGTAGTATATGTTGAAACAACAACACCAATGTCTTTGTTTGGGCTTTCAGACTTTCCTTTTTCACCACTTGTTGGTTAATGTGATACAGTATCTGATCTAGCTGTGAAAAATTGAATTCTGCAGCTGATCAGTTTTGTTTGGCAAACTAAATAATTGTAACATATAAGGCACATGGAAATAATATCCTGTGTTTATGGACATATTCCATGAAGTTTTA